CGTTAATTTGGGCCAGGCGAGATGACGGCGCATCTCGTCTCGTGTTTGCAGGGAATGCTGGGCCAACGTGAATTGGGCGCCGACGCGGAGTTACTCGGGGCCTGGGCGCTGGCCAGTTATTCGAGGGCACGGGGGCAGTGGGATTAGAGGAATGGAGCAGGAGATAATTCATGGCAGGTGCGCGCCACGTCGCCGCTAAATTCGCCCGCCGAGTTACCCGGGGCATCTAACCGCGCCAATGGATCTGTGGATCATCCCAGAACAAGGGGCGGTTGAAAGTTTCATGAACGCGCGAGGCACGCGGGGGAGACGAAGCGCGGCCCACGTGCCAGGGGTGACGCATGCGTAGTTCATCGCGTGCATGGAACAGCGCTGGCGTGGGGTGATGCGCCTGGGAGTGAGCTCGAGCCAGCGCTAACGTGTCGCCGCTCGGCGGCCGGCAAGGCCCCCGTCGACGCGATCTGGATCGATGTCAGCGAGGGGGGCGAGGCCAATCCTGAGTGCCGGTCCCAGCTTGTGGCTCAGCAAGTCAAGTGCAACTCCGAAGAGAAACCTTTACTGCCGCGCCTCCATTCGAAGCCTGAAGACTGTTATTCTGTTGCCGAAGGAATGGGTGTGATCGTGGGGGGCGTGGGAGAGGGCTGAAGTTTCTTATGGATGTAAGACGGACACGGAGGCCGAAAAAACACATCCCCATCAGGTTGCCCGATGGGGGATCGCAGAGCAGGCGCGCGTGGAGAACTATCGAAGTCGATGTAGGGCGCTCGGGGTGCATCCGGCAACTGAATGTAGTGTTATATGGATTGTGCGAGTGCTAATGGTTTCCGCAGTTGGCGACCGCCCCCACGCGCGCGTAGACGAGACGCGGCGGATCTGCCTAGCAGTGCATGGGGGCGACTTTGCTTCGCTGGGCAAGGACATCGATCCTGACTTTGTCGCAGGAGAACTTCAATGCACATGCGAAGTCAAAATCTGAGGCAGACTCGGACGAGTGCCAAAAGCCTTGAAGTCAGGCAGGATTCTCATCCGAATTGTGGAATGGAACCGGGATGGGTTGCGGTGTGGGGCGGATCAAAGGCATGCCGAGATAACTACAAGGGAGTTCGGCCTGGAGCAGGGCAACGTGAGATGTGAGATGCCAGGTGAGAAGCATCCTTGCGACGAAGAATATGAGGGGCCCATGTCTGGCCATGAAGTTAAGAAATGCCCAGCTTTGGTGGCTCGGGCCAGCTTTCTTGCGCAGGACCGTTCGGACTTGCAGTTATCAGTCGTGGGGGGCTTGCGCGCTCTATGTCAGCTCCGACCCGAGGGGCGCGGGAAAGACCCGTGAAACTGGGCAAGTATCTCACGAACCACGACAGGTGTGGATATCAGTACTGATGCCCGGACCGCCCTCAGGATTTACAGGTGTGGGCCGGCGCTGACTATGCTTGATGCAAGAGGGCGCGTAAATCAACGAGTAAAGGAACGGCTATGTGCGGATTGCTTTTGAGCAAGGTGTGGACTTCGATTCAGAGTGCAGTCGCGCTATCATCTGGAGAAGCAGAATATTACGAAAGTCTCTATGCCGACTGCAGCATCGCGTTAGGCAGCGATGCTGGTGCGGCCGTTGGTATTGCGAGCCGACTAGGACCTTAGGAAAACCCGGCACATCGAGGTTTGTCGTTTTCTGTCACTAAAGAAGGTACGACGAGGAGACATCGAAGTGAGCCAAGTAGGTTCCCATGATAATATTGCAGACGCTTGAACCAAACGTGTCAGCAGGGACGACCCGCCCATGCTTATTGTTAGCGGAAATCACGAGCCGGCGCCCGCTACGGAGTGTTAGCTTGAGCCATCTCCGGGTTATCATCGCGTGCCGCCCTGGGTGAGACTTGAGGTCAGGATCAGTTGAGATTGAGGTGGTCGTCTACACACTCCTGAAGATGTTCGCCGTCTTTCATGGATTGGTGCTTTCCCGTTCGTGGTGGGGGGCAGCGGCCGCCTGGGCGAGGAAGCGTTGCCATGGCGAGGCTGCTGGCGCTCTGCGGCCACCCAGCGATTGCATCATTTGCTCTTGTGCCTCCTGCAGCGCCGCGCCGCCGACGCGGTGCTGGCGGCGACGCAGGCGCAGGGTTGGGCAGCTGGCGCCAAACGGGGTAAACCCGGCGGGGGTTGAGCGGCCGCGGAAGCAACGTGGCGGCCGTGCCGGGTACCGACTGACGGGGAGGCGGTCGGGCGGGCGCTGGGGCGCGGGCTGCTGTGTGGGGCTGTTGGAGCAGGGCGCCAGGCGCACTGGGCGGCAGCGCGGCGTCGCTGGGCGCGCCGTCTGGGCGCCCGGAGGCGGGGCCGGCGCGGCGCGCGAACGACCCCGGCCGTGGGGAAGCCGGCGGCGGCAGCGCGCGGCGGCGGCGGCGCGGCGCAGGCCCGCTGGCTGACGTTGGGCGCCGGGGGGCGTTCTCGCGGTCGCCAACCTCGTGTTGGCTTCTTCAACGCTTTCCCTAAACTCCCATACGGATTC